CATTTGAATTATTAAACTCACAAGCAAATGAATATATCAATTAATTAAACTTTTAATTTTAAATGATAGTCACATTTTTAGTTTTAGTTAATGTTTTGCCACTTCCCCTTTAAAGCTTTAAGCTAAATAAATTATAATTTTTTTAACTTCCAAAACTTTTGTTCATCTACACAACTATTTTCCATGTTTTTTTTTTCACCCAAGCCAACGTAATCTAACTTAACTTTCAACTTATCATTTTGTAGTTTGCAACAATTTTAGTTTTAGTTGGTGAGAAGGAAATCAAATTAGACAGCGGGAGGTAAAGGATTGGGCCGCAAAAGGGGTATGCATGAAACTTATTTTCTAATGAATTTATAAAAACATTTCAAAACATTTGGAAGCGTTTCGTTGAGGCCATATAAGGGAAAAACGGATTTGCATAATTGGCATGTGCCGAGTTTTTGGTCAAACCGCAACGCAAAAATATATATTTACATCAGCTAGATTTGTAGGCAAACTTTGGAGTACATATAGCGAATGTTTGTGGGCATATGTTAGTTTAATTGTTCAATTTGAGGTCAGCTAATTTTAAATAAAATGCAATTTGGCAATTTGTGAAACCAAAGCTAAGCCTATTATACTTTTTCAAATTTTTATAAAGGCAGTTCGATTTAATACATAAACTTTTAAATTTTTAAAAACAAATTCTTGTAAATAGATTTACATTTTTTTTGCCTATTTCTAATTGGTTTGTTTTTAATAAACTTTTATTTTTTTTCTTTCTTGTTTTTCACAGAGAACACGTCCTTAAGTGGCTGCTTAGAGTGTTGTTTTAGGCCTGTCTTCAACGCCATATACAAACAAAAATTGATTAACAAAACGAAGTGAAATGAAAAGGTCTCGTAAAAGGAAACTCGCCAACATAAACAGGAGGAAATAAGTGGGCCGGAATGGGTCATAAAACCAATTGGTCAGTCCTCCGTACCAGAGTGCCAATGGCGTGCAAAATATACCCAAAAGACAGGGGGCTCGATGAAAAATTTATGTCTCACGTGATGGCCGCCGACCGGAGACACAAATAAAACACAAAAAGTGACTGGCAAAGGGAAATGGAAAACCGTAATCATTTAAATGAAATTCAGAGAAGGAAAAGTAACCTCTGATTATCTGAGGAACTGAGGAAGTGGCTGTGGCCGTGTCAGCGGCACTGCCAGTGGCACCATCAGTTTAACTCGGACAATGAAACCAAGCGAGTGAAAAATTACAATTGTCACAACAGCAAAGCGGTTTTTCATTGCTCCTCGTTTCGCGCTCGAGACATTTCACGGCGCATTGAAGTTGATATGAAAATAATTGCATGCAAATTCACGCCACCGGGAGATCTGTATCTCCCCTTGGCTGTCACTTCGAAAATCATTAATCTTTGGCGAGATCTTGGCGCATTACGTATACGACGCGCTGGCCGCCGCCAAGTTTAATGAGTTAATTTTCAATTCCATTGGCATGACGATGAGGGTAATACAGGCAAAAATGCAAATTTTACACCGCCTGGCATCTTGCTGTTGAACTCCATCCGCTTTCCATCCGCTTTCCAACCACCCAAAACCACCCCGTTCATTAGCCATTAGAGCACCATTGTGCGTTGCATGTTTAATTATGGATCCTTTCGGGTGGGAAAAAACGAGGAGGAAAATGGCCGGCAAAAGTTTAAGAATTCCATTAGATAAGAGCTTTGATGACTTTTAAGTGGCGCACAGGCATTTATGGTCTGGTTTGCCTTCGATTGGCTCATCGAGTATTGATTGCTGGATATTGATGGTGATTGCATCCGTCCAGTGGATCCATTAAAGATCCCATTGTAAGCTTGTTATCAAAGGGCTTGGTCCGGTCAAGTTTCCAATTCCTTGTAATACCTATTTGTTGGAAAATTAAAAGAGGGGATTGACTGGACCCTTCATTTTGTAATCTTTGTTACTTAGTTTAAAGGGAAGGGTTCAACTTTGGCTTGTTAGTTACATTTATTGATTACCATTTTTTTTTATTTAATTTACTTAACTGAAAATATGTAAGCAGATAAACTATTAAAGTATTAATAGACGCATTGTCCTTAGATCGATTTAAAACGATCTATATTTGTTTATTAAATTAAAATTGTAGGAACGAGGCTTAACTTATCAGAACGATTTTCTTGATATTAAGAACATTCTGAAGAGATCTCCATTGATGAAATCTATTATTAAAGTTAAGTCCAATCGACATTTCAGCGGCTCTTAAGCTTCGTGGACAGCATCCAAGTAATTAAAAAATATACGCAAATTACTCGACACAATGGCAACAACAACGGCAATGGCAATGGCAATCATTATGATTGCACGAACGTAATGCAATTTAATGGCCAACAAACAGGGGACAGGACGACAAAGGACGGAGGATGGGGGCTTGACCACACTCGGACAACGGAGATGAAACAGAAACAGCCAGCAGAGTTTGAAGTGTTGCAGATATTGGTCAAAAGTGCTGCCGCCGGATTTCAAATTGTACACTTAAATATATAAATAGCGAAAAACCCTTTCGAACAATTTTCTTGATTTTGGATTGATTGACATGGATTTATTTTAGTGTTTGTTAGATATTCCTGACATTTAAAATTTTAGAACTTTTTTTAGAAATTTAGTCTGTGGTGTAGACTCTATACAGATTATGTGCTCTAAACAGAAATGTAATTTGCTTTTCATATAAAGTTTATAAGCCCTTTTCACAACACGAAAAACATTTGCAAAGCTGATAAATATAGTAAGTAACCTTCAACTGAAAATTTCTAAAATATTAAAGAAATAATTTGTTGAGTGTAAAGGTGAGGAGGGATTCTGGTGGGGCAACAAAAGCCACACGAGAGATAAACGCCCACATGGGCAGTTATCATGCAGGACACAAAAAAGGTTGGTTGGCGGCGGGGGCAGAGGGGCGGAGGGGCGGATGAACTGATGGACGGACGGCGACAAAGTGCGTTCACATAATAATAATGGAAATAATTTAACTTATTGGATTTTAATGGGATTACACATGCGCAACATGGCCAGTGCGGGTATTAAAAGTTGGTCAACTTCTGTAATGGCCCTTGGCCAACTCTCGGGCCCAGCGGAAATGCCAGCCGACCAACGATGATAACGGTAATGATAATGATGATGTTGATGGCCTCCGGTTTGGGGTGAGGCTCGAAGGGGAGTGGCTGATCGGGGCGTGGCAGCTGAGCTGAGTGGTCCATTTGAAGCTGATTGCTTTGATTGCATCTCGTTTGGTTGACTTACCGATTATTTTTGCTGCAGTCCACACATTATTTATATGCCGATAGTCTCTTGAAAAAAAAAAAATTATTTATAATAAAAGCATTGAGAAAGCCAAAATAAAATTTTTTTTTTTGATTTTGCAAAAACATTTAAGTAAAATTTTCGAATCTTTAATTAATTTATCTTAATACATTTTTTGAGGATGACCAACAAAAAAAGTACCATGTAAAATGATTTATTACAAAGAAAAATTTTTTTTTTTTAAAGAAAACTAAAAGGCCAATATGATCGAAAAAAATTATTTAAAAAAAGTGGAAACGTGAATAATTTATTTATATTAGGTACTTAAGAAGAGTTATACAAAAAGTAATTTCATTTGTTTACTGTATTTTACGGAGTAAAAGTGCTTTAGTTATTAAAAATAACTTATAATGACAAACCCCTCACATGTTCAAATTTATCTGCCTATAAGCCCTAAAAGTGGCTCCATTTAAAACCGCACAAATACTGCTGGCTACCAATTTGTTGGCTTGGACATTTTCATTTAAAACTTCAGTGGTCTGGCGTCTGATGTCTGGATGTCGGATGTCGGATGACCTACTGCCAACGGGCCTAACTTTAACTGCTGTGTTACATTTACGGTTGTTACATGGCCGGCCCGAAAAAAAGCTTTGCCGTCAGTCAGTCGTTATTTCCATGCCCGACGTCATCAGTAAAAGCAGCAACAACGGCCACAAGGACCGCAACTAACCAACCACATCATTTCCAGGCGCAAACTGCCGCCATATTCCTGTCGGAGGGATTTTGGTGTAGATGACTGTGAAATGTATACTTCTATCTGCCAGTTCTTCGTCAGTGATATCCGTATTTCCGGAACAACAGTTATCTGGGCATAATTCTGGCATAAATTATCATCTTTTAACGTTTTCGAATATTTTTGGGGTATGTTATAAAACCCTTGCAGAGGCCACTATATTTTGCAATGCAGGGACCATTCAACTTTCAACCTATAAAGTATAGTGATTTTGTGTATACAGAGAGTCGGAACAATGAAAACAAATTATAATTTCTCTTTTTCTAAACATATACCTATATACTCTAAGATTTAGTCATTTTTATATATGTAGAAGTCCTTTTTAATTTTATAAAAATCTGACGACTTCATCGTTCAGCTAAAGTTCAATAGAGCAGATCTGAAAAACTATGGAAAATCGACAAACCTTCGTTTGTTTCTCTCAAATACGCTTATTAGCTCGAAATATAGTATTTTTTACAATTTCAGAAATACTGTTTAAATTTTATAAAACATAAGATTGCTATTGAACGATTGAAAAACAATTCGGAAAATCGACATATCTAAGGAGTTTTGAAATAAATAAGCGACAATGGTATGTAAACTTCGGCTTGCCAAAGATATTTTTTGCTAATAAATGTCTTTGAGCCATGATATTGCGTTTTTTTTTTTAACAGTTCAAAATGAATGTTGAAAATTAATGATGTAAAATTGTTCAACATATTGTAGGTTGTTAAAGCCTCCAAAACCACTTGGACCCGGTAATATTATTAATAGAATGAGACATTGTTACACAACAGTTTCGAATTATTTGCATTTATATTATTACAAAATCTTGGCGAATTGTTTTGTTACACCCTGTGAAACGATACTTTGCACTCAACGATTTAAGTATATAAATCTATAAGATTTTATATTTTAACTATCATTTGGTGTTTCTAGTTAGCGAGATGAAGATTATAGCAATAATCCTATTTGCAAACATCGGCTACGGTAAGTCACAGTAATCACTGGATTTACTTTCCACTAATTCGACACAATTCACAGCCTTATGTGTGTTTGAAGCGGATGATGCCGTTGTTACTCAGGAAATAAGAGATGTTGTAAATAAGTATAAACGCTTATCCACTGGAAACGCTGAATTCTCTCAGCGAATTGAAAAACTTTACTATATGATTCCCCTGCAACCAGCCTTATTTCCAGAAAAAATTCGTGCAGTGACAGAGTTTAAACACTACGACCGAGAGCGACAAAGATTGGAAGATGACATTACTGAGCGCATAAACAGGCTTAAAACTATAATTCGCTTGAGAAAGGGAGGTAAACAATGCATTGCCCTTTACAAAGCGCAGATAAGCGCACTCAAAGGCGCGTATAAGTTTTCCAACTCAAATAAAGAGTACACAATATCTCGTAATTCCAGAGAATGTGGTCCGCAAAAGAAAAATCAAATCAAGAAATCAAATCAAGATATTGATGATAATGATGATGATGATGATGATGATGATGATGGTGATGATTATTAAAACAAAAACAATGCATTTAATATATAAATAAAATGTATTATTTTTAAAAATTAAATACAAAACATACAATGTCTAAAGCTGCTTCCAATTTGGCAATAAATTGTGATCAAAATAGTTCCATTACAACTCTTTAGTCGGATTGTTAAGTTAGGTCCAAGAAAATTAAATTAAATTGTATTCTCTTATTCTTATTATTATTATTATTATTAACTTAATTTAAATCGAAGATATTTTTCTTTAAGGTAAATCAATAAATATTTTACTATTTTAAGTGCCATTGATTAAATAGCATTTCAAATCGTATTGCTACACTCCATTAAACGGTCGGTTTACCTTATTATATGTCAGTTTCAGTTGGCTGTTCAAATTAGCAATATGAAAATTATAGCAATATTTCTACTGGCAAATATTGGATGCAGTAAGTACAAAAACACTACATTTTCAACTCAATGTAACAATAAATCTAAAAGTTCTAGGCAAAACAATTGAGCAACTAAATGCAAACGCAACCAAGCAACTAGAAAGTATTGTGGAAAAGTATAAATATTTAGCCACTGAAAACGCTGAATTATCACAGTGGATTAAAAAACTTTTAAAAGCTAGCAAGGGGAATGCAATGCTAGCCAAAATGAAGCTACATGCTCAATTTCTGCTCTATGATGAACGTCGCAAGTACGAGGAAGGTAGAATAAAAAGTCGCATGAATGCGATTGATGATCTTATTAAGGACACTAAAATAAGTAAAAAGTGTCGAAAGTATTATCAAAGACAGAAAAAGTCTCTTCAAATGGCCTACAAGTTTTCAAATAAAACAAAACTGAGTAACATTTTGAAGAACTCGAAAACATGCGATGAAAAAGATGAAAAAGATGAAAGCAACGAAGAGAACGACGAATATAGTTATTATTAAGCCAAAAGAGCGGCGAACGTCACTTAGAAAAATTTAACAAGAAAACAAAAAATTTTGTTTTGTTCATAATGTTTGGTTTGGTAATTTTTGAGTTTTATCATATTCATCAAAATCGTGTCTATGATATATATTCTGTCGTCTACTAATAATTGTTACCTTAAAAAAAAATAAAATAAATGCTAGAAAGTACGTAAAAAACATATTTATTTTCGTTCCCTGGATTTGTTTAATTTTTTTTAATCTAAATGGTTTAACTAAAATATTTCAAAAACACTTTAACGTTGTTCTATCACTGTTTATATTGATTATAATATATATTATATATTTATATACATATATATATATATATATATATATATATATATATATATATATATATATATATATATATATAATCAATCTTGTTGACCGTTCCACAATTTCGCTGAGCTCCTGGTCATTTTTATTGCATTCCCATTCGGTTGACCGCACTTTAGCTTCATTTACAGTTATTTGCAATGTCCCACCTGCATAGACATTTTTATCGTCCACCAAAAACCACGCCCCCATCCCCGCACAGCCACGCCCCCACAGGCAAAACCGCAAATTCAATTTTGGTTTAGAGCCTACAAACATTTTGCAGCGTGTTTATATCCGCTGCATTGTCACGAGTAGTTTTCTCTCCTTTCGACCGCTTTTAATGCAATTTATGGGAAGTGTTTGCCCCGGTTTCGGTTGCCATTGGCCACAAAACGATCTTTTGTGATATGGAGTAAATAGTGGTCGTGGTCAATAGTTGGATTTTCATTTAAGCATGACCGGGCGCTAGCTGACAGTTCTTAGTGGCCAAGTCCGCATCACTTCCGGCCAGGATAATAATCATCAATTGAACTCGGGACAATTTTGCATATTGCTATTATGTGTCCATATGCTTGCACTTGCATCTCATGGCTCTGGTATTCGTTAATATTTTTTTTAGTAGTGAGGTGCTCCTTTGTTTATGGCATTTAATTAAAAAGATTTCCTTTGGTTAATTTAGTTAATTGTTGGGTATGTGCCAGAAAAATATTAAATCAAGTAGACTCAGTCAGACGTTTGCAACGCAGTGAAGTAGACATCTCCGACCCTATAAAGTATATATAATCTTGAACAGGATCATTAGCAGAGTCGATCTAGCCATGTCCGTCTGTCCGTCCGTTTCTATGCAAACTAGTCACTCAGTTTTAAAGCTATCTGCATGAAACTTTCCAAAAAGTTGTCTTTCTATTGCAGGTAGTATATAAGTCGGAACGAGCCGGATTGGATATACTATAGCAAAAAAATTTTAACTTTGCTGTTTTTTAATTTTTTTTTTATTTCTTCGACATATAGTAATGGTTAAATATTTCAGAATTACGGTTTAAGTTTCATCAAAATCGGACGACTTTATTATATAGCTCCCATAGAAATAATATAAATATATAAAATAACTATCAAATAATTGAGCTGCAAATCATCATAGCTTCAATGTTTTTAAACATATACGCAAGTAAATCTTAATTTTAGTGTTTTCAAAAATATTTAATTCTTGCAAGAGTCTTTGAACTACGGGTCGCCGAAGTTTGCTTCCTTTCTTGTTTAAATTAGTTTTATTTATGGTATATATTAACATATTCGCTCTTACTATTGATTTACTTTTTTAAGAAAGGAGTAATATATATAATAATAATATATTGAGCAGAGACAATATTCGTATATTTTATGTTAAATGAACAACTTGAAAACAAATGTAAGTTAAATTTAAATCAGAAATACAATAAAGGAATACAATCAAAGGATAATTCAATATAGCATGGCCGACTTTATTACAAAAATTGGAAAAGTAATATGCGGACTTCGTCCAGTAAGTCGGTCCAGGCGAATTTGGAAATCATTTGATAGGGCAAACACAAACACGGTTCGTCTACTTCTTGTCTACTTCTTGTCGTACCGCACGAGACGTATGTCGTCTCCGAGCTCCTGGAGGTCCTGGGAGTCGCGACGGAAGCGATAGGTGCCCACATCCTGGTGGACCGTATCCGGCAGCTTCACCTTGATGCCCTTGTACTCCGTCTGACCCTCCCTGATCTCCGGCACCCGCAGAGCCATCTCGGCCTTGTACTCGTCGTCGTTGCCAATGTCCACGTCCTTGCTGTTCTTCTGCACGGTGGGATCCTCATCGTCCTGATTCCAGCCATCGATCTCGATGGGCACAATGGGATTGCCGTCCACGTCCAGAACGGAACTGGGTGTGCCAGTTGGCAGGATTTCCACGGTGGCCGCGGGCACAGGTTCCTCCACAGGTGTTGATTCAGCGACATCCTGGGAATGGGGAGGGTCCATCGACGTTAACGAATTGACGAAATTACGATTGAACTCTACGTCATTCTTTGCCATATTATTCATATCAATATCAACGACGGTCACGCCATCGACGTTCCTGGGACGACTGAAGGTGAGGCACGTGCGACCAGTGGACATATTGGAGCGCGAGGTCAAGCGGGAAACGAAAATTCGCTGCAGCGCCAGCTTGTTGCTCAACGCCAACAAGTTGCGAAACATGGTTTTAGTCGGTTAGTTCAAGTTTGGGAATTAGATAGGTCTCTATCACACCAAAATTATAAATTTAAATTTTTTAAAAATTATATATTTTACTAAGAAAAGGTTGAAGGTCTTAAGCTGCCGAAATTTTTGATATGACTGAAGTTCACAACTTGGCTCAACAACTGACAGAGCTCGATTGGGTCAGAATTGAAATTCAAGGCCAAATTGTTTCTGAAAATGTTCATTTTGCCTCCAGTGGAATTGAATTCCAATTTTCACAGTTTTTAATATGTTGGTAAAAAAAAATTGTGTTTGACACTTTCAACTTTTAAGACATAAAATTAAATATTTAATTGGGGATTGTTTTTTTTTTAGATGTATAATTTTTGTTTTGTTTTGTAAAAAAAACATCATAAATTTATAGAATACAAAAAAAAATGCTAAATAAATAAATTTTAATAAAAGTTATGTTTTTTTATGGTATATAAGAAATTAAAATTATTAAAATTTAGTAAAAGTAACACTTTTTTTACGTGTGGCCCTCATAATCTTCTCCCATTTAATATATGTACTTAATTCAATAACTAGATTGGTCCATATTTAATTTATTTAAAATTCACCGGCTTTGAATACATACTATAGTTAGATTTCAAGTATTTGACTGTTTCTAAGGATCAACTACTATTTAATATTTATTTTCCATTATGTTAACAATATATTTTAGGTCAAACTAATTGTCGTAACAAAAACCACTTACGTTGCATGTAGATTCAGCAGGGAATAACATGCAAAATATATATATATAATATATATATAAAATATCATTTTAAATGGTGTTTAACTTTAACGTCATACTTACAAATTCTATAAATGAATGTACCTTTCACTGAAGGTAGTATAAATGTTTTAATTTTAACGTTTTCGCTTGGGGGCATTTTCGACTGCCTTTCGCGCCTTCCGCTTGCCTGAAGTGGAGGTTTCGGGTTTCTCCTCGAAGGACGCCTCCTCCTTGCCCGTTCGCACCTCGCGATTCACCTTGTAGGCGGCACCCATCCGCTTGATGTTCTCCTTGTGCACGATTTCGTGTTTAACAATGCGGTGGGGATAATCTGTGCCCAGGACGCAACCGTATGCACGCTGATCCGCCAGAGAGGCCTTCCAGGGCTCGTAAATACAGCCAGCTGGATACTTAGAGAGTTCCGGCACATACTTCCTGATGTAGTGCCCCTGGGGATCCGTTTTCTTGCCAAACGCCACGGGGCTATAGACGCGAAAGTACTGATGGAAGAAGGCCGAAGCAGAGAGCCACATCCAGTTGCCAGCGTTCAGTGCCCAATCCTGATCCAGCAGCAGCTGCTCGAACACCCGCTGCCCCTCCTCCCAGCTGATCCACAGATCTCCGCGGGTGAGAAAACAGGCCACCGCATGCCGGGCCAGATGATGGATCCAGCCCTCCTGGCGCAACTGTCGCATGATGGCATCGATGAAGGGGTAACCGGTGCGTCCGTGTGTCCAGGCCTTTAGGTGAATGGGCTGCTTCTGCCAGGGAATCTGCAGACAGTAGACATTGCCCAGCATACGATCGAAATTGGGTTCAGCTGCCGCCACTGTGTAGTAGAATTCCCTCCACATGAGTTGCCCAACTAGCGAAACCGGAGGCTGTGAGTGCTTTGTCTGCCGCTTGAGAATCTCCTTAAGCCTTTGATGAAACAATCGCGCACTGAGGCATCCAAATTTGAGGTAAGGACTCAGTACAGTAGTGCTGGGCTCCAGGGAATTCGGTGCCGTGTTGGGCTTCTCAAAACGGGCCACCCAAAGTTCATCGCTCAAGGATTTATCCATGCGGCGCAGCGCCTCTGTTTCACCTGTTTGATTAAATAATAGGTTATAAATTTCAAAAATAAACTCTATATAAACATAGTCACCCCCGGGAAACTTATTGGGTCCCAGTTCCTCTGGTCGCTTGACCAATTGTTCCATAGTAGGACAATCGTATGCCGTTGAATCCTCCTGCTCCACTTCATCATTGGTTGGTTCATTTATAATCTTTAACTTCTGTGGAACTCCTAGAACCTTGGGTATTTTTAGTTGCTCCACAATGCCCAGAAACTTTTGATAGGTAATTGGTGCCTTGCCAAGGTTTTTGGCTATGACCAACTCCGGATTGTAAATCGTGTGGGAGCAGTGGGTTTCCACCTTGACACCCGCGGATTTGGCCAGCTTTTGAACGGCCTCATCTCTGGCCAAGGAGTATGGTTCGATATCCGTCTCAAAAGTCAGGAGTTCCACGCGCCAGCTCTTAAAGATCCGGGGGAAAACTTCGGCGGGCTTGCCGCGCACCACAAACAGACGGGAATCGAGTTTCCTTAGCTGCTGATCCAAATCACTTAGCGTTTGCTGCAGGAATCGCCAGCGATTGGCGCCCACCTGAATCCAATCCAGGATGCCAGGATCCAGAATGAAAATAGGGCGGACGAAAAATTTACCAGGCGCAGCGTTGGCAGCTGCAAAAATCTGCGATAAAGCGGGATTGTCGTGGACCCGGAGTCCTTTGCGGAACCAGTGTACCAATGTGGATCGCTCTGCACCCATTGCAGCACGTGTACGCAATTTAAAACGGTATTTATTCAGATTTAACGCGGAATATGTTTTTCAAATACAAAAGCGGCTCAAAAGACCTGCCAACTCTTTTTCACGTACTTAATTACACTACGCTGCAAAAGGAAGCATTTGCAGAGGCTCGAAAACCGTTTAATTTGTGTTTTATTTATTTTGTTTTTATTAAATCTATAAATAAAGCAGTATAGATTTCTCAAAAGGTATTAAACATTTCTTTGACCATTTCCGCGGTATTTTCAGACCTAATATAATTTTAAAATGTTTGCCAGTATACAATTTAAAATAAATATAAATATCGTTTATGAAATGTTTATTTTGAACAAAAACTTATCTTCTTAAATCAAATGTAATATGTTTTTTTAGTAAATTTTTAATTGATAAACATTTTTTTATTACAGTTAAATATATTAATATACTTACTTACAAAATTTAAAAATAAACAAATTTGTTGAACTTAAATATGTTCAAATGTAATGTGCGAACCTAAGTCCTGTCGCTAAGTGTAATCAGCTGTTGAGTAATTTAATAATACTAAGACACAGCAATTACGACCGAGTTGGCATCCACTTTTTTCGGTATTTTTCGCAGAGTATATTTGGTGCACAAGCACCGGTTGCCAATATAATTATAATTACTTTTGCTCGTATAAAACAAGCAAATCGACGGCAATCAAACACCCAAACGGGCTAATAATAACCGCCAGAGAGTGGTAAGTCTCCCAGAAAACCGCCCCCAAAGAGAGAACCACCCAATTAACTGAGATTCCCTCGCACAATTCTTTCTTTCGATGGCATCGCAGGCGCACATCCGCCAATTGATCAAAACAAGAACGAGTGAGGAGAGCAGAAAATACGGCGGAAAAGCGAGAAAAACACGGCGGGAAAATGGACCTGCTCGACACGATACTCAATGCCATGGATGCACCGCCTGCCAACAACGAGCAGCAAAAGACGCTAATCAAGAAACAGCGCGAAATGATGGAACGGATGCAGAACAAACAGAAGGAGGAGCTCCTCCGATTCCGGAAGTATGTGGACGAACGGATGGGCCGATTCGCCAAGGACGACAGACAGTGCATCGAGTTCCAGCCGCTGGACAAGGTGCATCGCTCGGTGATACACGAGATAGCCGAAAACGGAGGTTTCATTGCCATGAGCTTTGGTCGCGAGGATGTGGATCGGCATTCGGTGGTATACAAAAAGGAGCATGCTCCTGGGGAGGATGAGGTCACAGCCAGACGAAATGGTGACGGCTGGAATCCAGAGATAGCCAAGGAGTACGCAGAGCGACGGCGGGAGCGACTGGCGCAGGAGCAGAGCGACAAGGAAGCCTCCACTTCCGAGGCGGCGGCGAACTGCACATCCTCATCCACTGCCGGAGATCCGGACTCCGGTGAAGTCAAGCCCACAACTAACTATAAGGCCAAGTATGCCCACCTCATCGGAGAGTCAGCCGCATTGCAGGCGGCTCGCAAGACGGAGACCAACCAAAGCTACGGATTTGTGCCCAGTAAGAACAAGAAGGACATGCGCTCCATCGAACAGACGCTGGCCGACATCCAGGCCAAGAAGCGTCTGCGACTGGCGCAGCAACAGGAACTGGAGCAGGAGCAGCAGGCGCCGGAGGCAACATCCACATCCACAGGGGACCCATGATAAGCCGTCTGGTGGGACACACTTAGTATACAGATAGCTCACTTAACGCAAGACTGTCTTAACCCAAAAAATATGATTATACTCTGTAAGGGCTACTTAAATTTATAACCATAAAAAGAGAATCAGCCATTCTTGTCTTGTTCCCAATTCCTATTCGATTATATTGAAAGCAACAGGAAACGATCAAATTTTATTTTAACAAACTAAATTGCTGCCAAAATGTGTATTAAATTTTAGAACTTATAAGATCTGTGTTCCCACACTTCCATTAATCTTATGTACAAAAATGGGAAAAAGACATGACTATCATCTCTCATTTAGGGTATCATTATCCCCCCAAAAATGACATATTTTTCGAGTTAGGACAGCCTTGTATCGAGTGAGATTAGTTTTGTTGATTCAGATTAGTCACATGCAAGGTCATTGACTGCCATGTAAATCATAAGTAAATAAGCAATTTAATTTGTTGGCCAATTAGGATGCGAGAATTAGAAGTGTTTAGAACAAGTTAGGTATCCGCAACGGCGTCCGAACCGCAATATCTATTTATATAATAAAAATATAGAAAAAACCGACAGATTCAAATTAATCTTGAAAACGGGGCGCCACTCGGAAGGCACCAAAAAATCCCGAATATTTCGAATTTGGTATTTTATTTTTAGTGATTTTACAACACTCAAGAGCAGTCACAGTTTTAAGCATATGGCGGAAATCACACCACGTGTTGCGGAGCAATGGAAAAGAAAATTAAAATAAGCATGTTTTCAAAAATGCAAACCTTGGAAAAATTTACCAATTCCATTGGGAATTTTATCCTAAACAGCTGAAAGTTTAAAAATCACTGAAAGATGTACGGATTTGGAAACATAACATAATCTTTTGGGCATCGTGGCAACTTCGACCCAAAGAGTCTCATTTAGAGACTTCTCAGTACGACTTGGGGATCGCTTATACTGTAAGTTATATTTTTATTAAAAAATATTTTAACCAACATGATGAGACCTTATGATAGGGACATCTGATGTCTATGACTGATTTATCTTGATAGTAGAACTGATTAAACAAATAAAATGTCATAGGAGTTGTTTTATGTAGAAGCATACTAATTATTATATTCTTATTTTAGATGAAATTGGCGTTTCCTGTCCCAAGGAGCTTCAAATAAGATGTTTTTTATAAGTAAGTATTATTTTGAATGTTTTTATATGATGAGATCCTACGATAGGGACATCTGATGTCTATGATTGATTTATCTTGATAGTAGAACTGATTTTACAAAAATATTAACGCAATGCTTATTATTATCTTGAAGGTAACTTATTATTTAATCTTTCAGCAGATTTCAACGAGGATATCTTTTGGGACAAGCAGAAAACGGTCCTTTTCCTAAATGTAAGTATAATTTTTAATACTTTAAGACAAGTTTTCAATGATGAGATCTTAAGATAGGGACATCTGATGTCTATGACTGATTTATCTTGATAGTAGAACTGATAATACCATTTTAAAGGACTTCTGCAAACTCTTGTCTTAGAAAATACTCCAATAATTCTTAATCTATTATTATTACAGAGAAACTGGACATATCTAATAGAATAACTACAAAAGGAGGATTTTCAAACATTGTAAGTATTTATTGTGGTACGGAAACTCTCAATTTTTATGATGAGACCTTACGATAGGGACATCTGATGTCTATGACTGATTTATCTTGATAGTAGAACTGATAATACCATTTCAAAGGACTTCTGCAAACTCTTTTCTTAGAAAATACTCCAATAATTCTTAATCTATTATTATTACAGAGAAACTGGACATATCTAATAGAATAACTACAAAAGGAGGATTTTCAAACATTGTAAGTATTAATTGTGGTACGGAAACACTCAATTTTTATGATGAGACCTTATGATAGGGACATCTGATGTCTATGACTGATTTATCTTGATAGTAGAACTGATTAGTAAAATTATATGTTAAATGTTTTGTTATCACTCGATGTGCTAACTGCGATGTTTTTTATTTTTTCAGGTTTATTCTTTCAAATTAGACCCTGACTACTGTTTTGGACTATCCATTTGCCTTGTAAGTATAAACCTTTTTGTTAAAACTGATTTTCAATATAATAATGATGAGATCTTATGATAGGGACATCTGATGTCTATGATTGATTTATCTTGATAGTAGAACTGATTATTAAAATATTTTTATTTATTTATTTTTTTAATGCTTGTGTATTAATCGAGAACATTTTTAATTTTCCAGGGTTGTACGATGACGAAAAAAGGATCTTCTGACGATTTTATTTCTTAAAATCAAAATTTAATTTAACTACCGGTAATAAATAAACTTAATTTACTCTAAAAAAGATTTTTTTAATGCAAATAGATTTTCTTAAAATACAATTTATGCAATAAATTATGTGATATGAATCAAATTGATTCGAACTAATAAACAAAACAGGGTTGTATAATTGGGTCAAAGTCAAGTAATAAAAACTAGTCTTTCCAAAAACCAAAAATTGTATTTCCAAAACGGTTTACAATAAACAATTTTCCAAATTATTACAATATATTTAAAATATTGAAAAGAAGTATGAGAGACTTTTTGTTCTGTTTATTTTACTCGCAGTTCCGGCTGTGTACTATATACTCATTAAGATAATGGTACCGGAGTTGGCGGATTACGGAACTCCAAGGGATATATTTAAACAGGTGCTGGGTTGGTTCCTTCTTTCGAATATATTGTCAAACTTTATCGTGTGCATAGTTGATCCGGCCATCGATACGAAGCGAATGCGAAATCAATTGGAAAGCACAGTAAGGACTGGCACAGGTGCAACGAGTGCATGATTTCGACTCCACCTGGATCAAAGCACTGCAAGTCTTGGGGTATTTATGTCCTAAAGCGAGATCATCGTTGAATCTTTTCCAGTTGCTGCATTGGTCAAGAAAACTATAGATACTTCTTCTTTTTCGTGATATAGTTGTTTGTCTGATCTCTGTAATATCTGCTAGTATCTTCGGTTATGCTCTATCTAAAAATGTAGTTTTATGCCACTTTCCATACCGAATTGGACTTGGATTTCTCCATTTATTCCCAGTCCGCTGGAGCACGATGGCTTTTATTGGGAGCCCACAGACGAAGATGGTCTTTGGAAAATAAAATTAAAAGATAACTGGACAGTTTTGCTATTTTAAAAATGTTATTTCGAAATTATTGAAAGTTTGTATTTAAAGACTTTTAAAAGAGATAATAATTTCGGAACCCACATTTCCCTAAACATGTTCAAACTGCATCTGTTTACCATCTGTTTAAGTCAATGTTAAAAAATGACATTGCTAATAAATAAATCAGAAGAGTATTTGTTTTTTTGTGATTTTTTAAAATCTACAAAGGATTACTTTACATATATTCTATGCCAAAGAGGAATTTTTCAATATAATGAAATTAGGAATTTCTTTTTTTTTTTGGTTCTAAATTATTTTTCATTTACAAGCCTATTCTATTTTATATTATATTTTCTAATATTCCCAAAGTTATGAAAGCTAATGGCTCTTAATGGTATTTTTTTTTAAATGTAATTTATTTAGTGTTTACTGTACTCGTTCATTTTCCCCAGGTTGGCAGCTTTACTGACAGCTGTTTTTATTGATAACATTGAAATGCATTGAAATCGCCGCCTTATTTTTGTGTAATTGGCAGCCGGTCAAGTTCGGCGAGTAGACCAAATATGCAGCCCACCAAAACGGATTCGCGTCGTCGTCTCAATGCGGGGATCTCGAATTCCCCGCCAGCAGTCTCTGGGGAAGGGGAATACATCAAGGTGGTGGAGTCCCAGTGCGAAACCGACGGATTCGTCAACGAACAGTGGACGGAGCCATCGGTTCCAGTGCCCTGGAAAACCATTGTCATCATCCTTTTGCTTTTTATCGGTGGGATTGTGAGTATTCTCCGTTTATGGGTTATACATATACATTTGTATATATATATATATTTATATATATATATATTATACTTTCTAATATATGTATGTATATGTATGTTCGTGTTTGAAATATCCATCAGAATCCTTTCTTGGATTACTTTTTACCTTACTTATTATACCAAAAGTCTGAAAAATCCCTTCTCTTAAAATAAAAATTATTGTTATTATTACTCATATGTATAATATGTACTACCTCATTTAAGCTGCAGTGCAATATAGAATTTTGGCCAGTTAACATTCTAAAATCAGTTGATTTTCTTAAGTTGTTTCACTTCATTCAAATGTTAAGTAACATTTCTAAATGAAACTACATTTTGTGCGAAGGGTATTATAATTTTAGTCAAAAGTTTGCAACGCAGGGAAGGAGAGACATTTCCGATCCTATAAACTTTTATACTTTAACAACTATACTCTCAGTCTTAAAGCTATCTGCATAAAACATTCCCAAAAGTTGTCTTCCTGTTTCATGTAGTATATACAGGAAAAATGAATACAAAAAATATATAACTTCGCAGTTTTAAATTTCTTTTTAATTCCCTTAAATATAGTATTGATTAAATATTTTTGTTTAAATCGGGGGACAATATCCGCTTTCAGTTCTGACCGCTATTTAAACCAGTCTTGTGTGCTTTATAAGTATATATCCTTCTAAAAAAAAAAACTATGATAAAAGTTAACCATATGAGAAACTTACTGATTCCTGAATTCGTTGTCTTTAGATATTATATTACATTAAACATTATTTCACATTATTTTATAAGACAAACTATGTCCTGCCTTTGAGTTATAGGTTGGGGTGGACCCTCTACAAATTCAGATACTTACTAATCGGCCACTCTGATTTCTTTGTCTGTAGATCTGCATTGCCTTCGCCACTGTGAATTGGCTGACGGACACGAGTCGGGAGCGATCGGATCGTGTGTGGGCGCTGAGCATTATCGGAGCACTGACCTTCATCCCGGGCAGCTACTACGTGTACGTGCTCTCCTCGATTCTGCTCAACCGGAACGGTTTCACCATGGACGAGATCCGGAGACTCGGTTGAGAATGCGAACGGAAGGAGACCGAATTCCATGTTTCGTCAAATAGATTTTATTGCGTTTACACTACAGTTACTCACACAATTCATTGGCATAATTTCTTTAGCAACAATATTAATTTGTAGTTTGTAGTAATGATACATGTGTGTATTGCCCCGGTAATTGTATAAAAATATGTTGTAAATACAAGTTTCTTATCAAAATGTATAATGCTTGGCGTGGCTTTTAGTGCGCGGAACATTTGCTATCTATATATGTAAATACACCACGGCGTAACGCTTGTTTAAATATGTATATGCTTTACAGGCATGGACTATAGGTTCTATTAGATTTATGTTATGTTATGGCCATTTTCTCTATCAAGCTTAGGGTACAGTAGTACATGTTTTGTGTTTGAGCTTAGTTATATACAAGTACAGTGTTATGCGTTATACATATATTGTATCTAGTTAGAATTCTTTACAAACAATTGCTTTTCGTGTTTCCGGTTATAACAGAGCGGGAATCCAATTTACTGGAGCGGGGAAATGGGCATACACAATACATACACAAACATAATAACGAAATTAAACTAGCGACAGTTAACATCTCACTGCTCCACGACGGTAACCTCGATCGGTGGAATGAACTTCCACACGTGCGCCTGCTGCTCATCGTAGCTGGAGGAGAACATGACCGACTGGCCGGTTTCTCGGTTCTCGGTTTCCGCCGGACACGAACGACTTAGCAGTGACGCTTGAGCAGCCTCCGACTGCTTCTGCGGATTGCTGGTGCACTCGATGCTGGCCTTAAAGCGTCCGGGCGTAAAGAATATCACAGAGCATGTGTGCTGTTTCTGCTCCTGCTTCTTCAGTAGGGGAATTGCAATTCTAACGGGGTTTAAAACCAGATAATGAATAAAGCTGTCAAAGATTGGATTGCTTTGTGGTTTATCTCCTTACCTATTTGGTCCTGAAATGGCCACGCGTGTCTCCAAATTGTAATTCTCCATTCCGTTCAGGTAATCCTGATAGAACTTGATGCTCAGCACCAAGTTCCTGAGCGGTTGCACAGATGTGTTTGCCAGCTGAATGCTAAGCAGTGAACTCTGGCCCACAGTGCACACAATCTCGCTGTGCGGCTGCACAGGCGTCTCCTGGAGGCTGATGGCTAAGTAAGTAGATAAACATAGTAACTATAAACAAAACCGGTTACACAAATTCACAACAACTTACCCCATTCCAAAGGCGACACAGCCGTCAAATCCACCATGGACTGGGAGAGAACAATGCCTCGCAGGGAGGCGATTCCCCGAATATCCGTCCCCGTCAACAGCCAGTTGATTTTCACCCGTTCAGCTATGTGATTTGAGCAGAGCTTGCTCAGAGCATCATTAAACGACAGCAGTTGCGTCCGAAAGCAGAGCTCTAATAGGCAGGTTAAATCATTAATTATATAATAAACTTATTTTGAATAAGTATTAGCTTTACCCCTTTCCAGATTCTCAGCCACTTCGGCTGCCCGCGCGGCTACCACTTGCTCCAGGGAGCAACGATCCACGGGTATGGGCACTCGGCAGCTCTCCTCGGCCTCGATGAGTATATTCTTGGTGTCCGTGTAGTTGAGCGACATCTCTTGAGCGGTTAAATTGGAAATGTCAAGAACCAGGTAAAACTGAGAGGGTCTGTAATAAAAATGATAAATACAATTAGATGTAATGGCTTCTAAAGTTAATACGATTTGCACTTACACCTCAGCGGGAAGGACATCCCAGCTAGTTATCTGCGCGCTGGGCAAAAGTTCTAGGTTAAAAGACACCGCACACTGGCGACAGTAGCCCGCCGTTAGAGCCTCTCCGCCGGAGTACTTCAAACGCACTTGTGCCTCAATGTGCTGCGAATATTGCGAGCCCAGACTGGAGGGTCCTGCTCCTCCTGCTCCTCTAGCGCCGCCAGGCTGCAGACTCAAAGCAGCCAGCGATGACTGACCGCCCGAGAAGGTGGAACGAAAACTGGAGTTTTGTGGCTCGTGGCGACGATGCTGCGGCGAACTGACTCTCGATGGCAAGCTGGCATGCCCAGAGGTGGAAACGTTGGAGTAGTGGGTGAGTGACGCCGCACCGTAATCCCCGGCAGCGGCGCTTGAATGAACCGAAGCGGGTGGCTGGGGACAAACGAAGTCCGCTTCGGCATAAACATCCACGATGATTTCCAGCGAACCCTGTGGAGGCACCGGTAGCTTGGCCTGCAAAATAAATTGCACATCCATTGGCTATAAACGCTATTTTATGGTGCAAATGATGGCAAATCTCACCTTCAATGCCTCTTCATCGACCCGAAAGATCTTTCTCTGCAGCTCGTGTTCAACATTCGAGTTTATGCTGACCTCCAGGTGCTCCAGTGGTAGCGTTGTGCTCTCATTTGTGATTGTTATCGTGCAGCTGGAGGATTCGCCATTGTACAGGGTCAAACTGGCGGAGGTCACCACAATATCCGCACTGTTCATGTTGCTGAATGTCGCCGTCTGCGGCAGGGAAGTCTTAACGGATATCCTGGGAAGGGCGGGAATCACATCCACCAGGTAATTGGGTGGAAAGCTGCGTCCACGCATGTGCTTCAGCCGGCAGTTGGACTTTACGCCGAGCGTGTGTGTGCTGTAGCCCTGCAGATCCAACTGTCCCGGCTCAATGGGCGTTCCATGGAGCGCCACATAAGTGGGAACATGTGGCTGGAGAACAATAGTCTGAGGCAGCGACTCAAAGACCACACCGTTCGACAACAATCGCATGTCCGTGACGGCCAGCTCAAAGGGCAGAGGATTGCGCAGGCGCACAGTGACCTCGCTGAGATCGTTTTGCACCCACTGGAAAGCTGAACAAGTGGGGAACTTAGTAAAATATATTATTTATATACTATAACACCTCACCTATTTTGTTTTTGTCCTTTTTCTTGTCCCTTCGGTCAACCGAATTGAAGTGTATGGGGGTGAACAGAAAGGGTCCACTGTCCGCTTTGGCCACCTTTATTCTCTGCGGTCGCAGGTGGGCGGGCAAATCTTTGACCTGTAGATCGAGGCAGTAGGGCAGATCCGTGAGATTGGCGGGCGGTATCACAGTGCCATTCTCCAGCACTAAGGGAACGGGTGATCCCTCACACTGGGCGCTTAAATTCTGCAAATATTCATTAGTAAGAACAGAGTTTTGTATTACCCATTTTGGTTTGCATATGCTACCTGCAGTTGCACAGCCATTTCACTTTGTTCCGTGGGCGACATGTTATCCCACTGTGTTTGCAGCAGAAAGGTCATGTGGCGCGTGGCCAGGGCAGAGTGTCCCAGTCTTCGGGCAGCCGTTATGAGGCTCTGTACGAGATTGATCTGCAGCGCCGGCCAGCCGGCAGCATTTTCCAGTACCTCCAGTGGATCCAGGCACAGCAGATAGCCCGTAAAGCTGCCCAACATGAGGCGATAGCTCTGATTCCAGTCCGGCGCCTGGCTGCCCTGTTGGACATGCTTCAGTGCAGCCAGACGCTGGAAAAACGCCGCCTTCCTTTGGTAACCGATCTGCTGGTACAGCTCCGTAATGATCTCGAATCTCTTCACACGCTCCGCTTCGCTCATGCTCAGGTTAATGTACAGGATATTCTGAAGGAACATGGCCACGTCCAGAGGACGATTCTGTTCGATGCAAATCCGTGAGGCCTTCAGAGCCGCCTCCGTTTCAATGGTCGCTGCATGCCTGTATTTACTGTAGTTTATGATGGCCTTGCGATAGTAGTTGGTGATCTCCTCCGCCTTGAGTATATTGCCCGGCAAATCGCCGTTTCTCTGGTGCCCCGGAATCGGTGCCGCCGATATCGTCGAAGTGGAAGACGACGAGGTGGTTGGCGTGTCCGAGGCGGACGAATTGGTGGCCGTGGTCACCAGGGAAGACACCGATGAGCAGGAAGATGAGTTCGAGGTTACGCGCTGCTGCTGCTGCTGTTGATGCTGCTGACTTTGTTGGGTGCCATCCACGTTGTTTGTGGTGGCTTCACTGGCGCTGATTTTCTTGGTGGCATCACTAGCCCGCCACTTTTCCGGGGTGTTTTTCAAAGGTGAGGTGCCTGGACAGTAATTAGGATTTACTAAAGGCAGTTTAGATCATATTTTCGCTACTCACCCGCCTCCTGGAGCGAAGAGTTCCTGTGCAGCGTCTCTATCTCTCGCATTTGAGGATACAAAAGCATCGCAGAGGCGGCACACAGACCCTCTTCGGTGGCTCCAACCCACAGCGAATCGCCCACCGACCTCAAGGTCTCATTGGCATTGTGGTACAAACTTAAAGCGTCGTCCACGAGACCGGCTTGCAGCGATAGATCCGCCAGGTTCTTCATCACACGACCCACGCAGCGCTTCCTATTGTTTCTCGACTCCATGTCCAGGCCCACAAAGTCGCGTTTCTCGAAGGGAGCCTGCAGCAGGCTCAGCTTGTCCGCCTTCTCGCGGGATCGCTCCAAGCGTCGCGATTCCAGGACCCAAAACAAAGCGCTGGCAAAATCCCCAATTCGAGATTCCAGATCCGCACACGAATCCTGTTCGCGGTAGAAGAATGCCTGTGCCTTGAAGTTCGAGGGCGTGGTGAACTCATCTTGGAGGCGTCGACCCCCGGCTGGTGGTGACGCCAGCACCTCGCCGATGGTCTCCAGCGGCGTTTCATCGGGTCCAAAGAAAATGGCACGCGATTCGTACAGTGTAGAACCGTAGCGAACTTTCAGGGACTCGTGCTGGCGGCACAGCTCATTGAGTTCAGTTTGGTTTTCGAATTTGCCAATGGTAACGAGTCCCAGCAGTCGGCGATGGGTCTGAAAGTCGCCCCAGTCGTTGTGCTCCACAGGATGATCGTGTACGAAGCGAATCCAAATAGTGCGGGGATTACCAGATGAATCTGCGGTGCAAAACAGAAGGAAGCTAACAATAGTTTATAGTGGATTCAAGTGGGAGCACCCACCATTCACCCGGATGTGGCTGACACGTCGCACTTTCTCGAACGCCCGCTGGAGGATGCGGGCACGCGATGGTCCCACGCCGCGGAGCAGCACCAGCAGACAGCTGTGATGGAGGGCGCTCTGCTCGTAATCCGGCCGGGACATCGACGGCTCCACGACACCACCACCGTGCGACAGCATCAGGCCAACGGCCGCACGCATTTACACCGCGCCGCGGCTTCCAAGTCCTGAATCGCAATCGCA